CCCACGGGCGACAGTTTTTCTCCTTAAATCTCTCAAATGGCATTCAAACCCCAAGACTTCTGAACAATGCCCTAAGGAGTTTTTTCACTATCGGCCCCCCTTACCCAAATTCAAATTACCTGGCAACGCCACTGTTCTGAAATGTTCTGCAGATCAAATGCATTGAAAAAACACAACGCCACTGTTCTGAAATGTTCTGCAGATCAAATGCATTGAAAAAACTGTCCTGTACCAATAGGGAGTTCAAAGGTGTTTACCTATATTTCCCTCAATAAAACCCGACCTGACCTGACACTTGTGTTGGATCTACTGCACTCGTTCTTCCCCCACCCGTCTCTGCCCGGTGTCAAGAAGACTGGCAGTGGGGTCGGGCGTAGGCGGTCGGGGCGGCTTAGCCTGAAGCAATTAGTTGGGGGAGGTTGGCAAAGGTGAATAGTTCATTTGACCCACTTGTAAAAGACTCGGCGTCCTCGGTGGGATATGAACCCATGGTGAAGGTTTTACTACAACCAACGCCCTGGCCCACTGAGCTACGAGGATCCCGCTAAAATCCTTAAGTCTACACATACTTGGGTCAATTGACCGTATGTTTTCATACAAAAAGTGTTTAAAACGCGGTGCACTTGCCCAGCGTATATTTCAGGCCAAGGCTGCAGGGGATTGTCGATGGCTCGGGTCTCCTCCCAGACATCGAGTTCGCTCTCCTCTGTGAGCTTCTTGGCAGAGGCAAAGGTCACAATCACCGGAACAATGAATCCACTCGAAAGGCTCATAAGAATGCCCAAACCCATGAAGGATAGTTGCGCTAGAAGGAAACATATCGACAGAACAAGGTAGAAGGACCGTCTAGAAAACTGTCTTTGAAGCCCAAACGGTCGCTTTCACATAAACTGGGGTTTCGCGAAAAACCTAGTAAGGGCTGTTCTTAAATTACTTGAACCCTTACAACACAATCACAGCCTCTAAAGTAACATAAATTTCACAATTTTCTTAACAGGAAAGTTGTCTTTGACGTCCTACTTGGGCTACTGATATTCTGTTTGCTTTCTGCTCCCTTACCACATTCTACAGGAAAATTTCGTAAATATGTAACTTATAAGCAAGTTCGCCTCGAAGTTGAATATAATTCCTAATTTTGATTGCTACATTTACAAACATTGACCATATTCTTAAGTTTCTTTTTACCCTCCATCAGCTAAAGGTATATCCACTAAAATTGTTGACAATTAATAATGGCAGTGCTTAGAGAATTTCTATCTATTATTGGTGGCTATGGAAAGGCCTTGATATAAACTTAATTATCAGGTTGCGAAACGTTGTTTTCCCGGAAAAAAAATTAAACAAGGCAAAGATCACAAGATTAGCAGGATTTGTTGAGCCACTAGAATCTGTTTTTCGGATACGATCGATGAAGAGATGAGTTTTCTCAAGAAAGTGTTTCTTGGCAACGGCTTTCCGAAGGAATCCATTGACAATTATCGCAACCGCAGACAAGGAAATCCTTGTGAAATATCACTGCCAACAAAGTCGGTGAGCATTTTCCTCCCTTTCAGATGTGATAATATATCCAACGTGCTGAAACGAAGGCTTCGATGTACAATTGAAAAAACTTACCCCGCCGCCAAATTCTGCCATATGAGCACAACAATGGCTATCCCAGTTTGTCCAACTAAAGGCATTTTGCCCATGCACGCCAAAGCAAACTGTGTTTACGAGTTTACATGTGGTTGTGGGTGTAAATACATCGGGCGCACGCAAAGGCCATTGACAACGAGGTCAGCGGAACACATGCCGAAGTGGTTGCTCAGGGCGGAAAATCAGATGCCCGAGAGTTTAATCACGAAGCACCTAGTGAACACTGATCATACGGTCGATCAAAGGACTGCATTTAAGGTCGTACCTCGGGTGACAACCGGGGGGCCTCCTACGATTTGCGGAGGCCACTGCAATACGGAGAAGAAAACCAGAACTCTGTAAGCAGCTGGATCATGTGATCAACCTCGCATTGCCATGGTAATGATCGATGAACTAATTCCTGCTCAGGTTTCCTTGTTTTCCTTAAAACTGACTGCTACCCTTTCCTCTGCCCCCCTCTTTTAACCACGTCCACAGGCTTTCATGAACATGAACTAACATGAACTGCCATGCTGTAACAACTACCTCCCCCTCTTCTATCCCCTCACCATGCGCACACATCGAAGGCTAATAGTTTTTACTCCCTTAACGTATCAAGTTTCAACCTTCTAGGCCGACGCTTAGTTGGACAGTTAATTATCTTATTATTAGGCAACCAGCATTTGCAGTTGAAAAAGGGGTCATTAAATTATATGACGTCCTGCTAACCTCGTGATCTTTGCCTTGTTCAAATTACGTTGTACTTTAGAACATGTGTATGCCTCACGATAACTTATTTTATGATGTTCAATGAAATTGTGATGAAGATAAAAAAACAACTTAGTTAGCAAGCCTTTTCCGATTTATATGCACACCAAACCACACACCAAACCTTGTGGAAATACATACTTTGAAAGTCCGTTATTCTCGCTCATACAAATAGTCATTTGCATGCAGAAGGGCATCGAAGAATGTTACCGCATGCTACGAGTACTACCTTAGCCGTGAGTGATTATAATTCAGGTGGCTATTTATCATCCTAACACAATGTTTTCTGCTAAGCTTTGATAATATCAGCATCTGCAAACTCTCTTCGTAGGACTTTCTGTCAGGATCACACATGCATCCCAGAAACTGAAACTAATCAACTCACCAAAATGAGTGATTAGAATTCCAGCAATACCGAGGACGAATCCTGTGAGAGTACCCACCAACACTGCTAGACTGTTCAGTCGAGCCCAGTAGAAGGTGAGGTAGAGACTGCCGACAGCTGAAGCGCCAAATACGCTGACGTATGTCATCAGACTCAGTGTGACCACCTAGACAGGTAAACGTGAAAAAAAAAAAACAAAGTCACTGTGACTCAGTCTCACATCGGTATAAACTGTCATTTAAATCCGAAATGTTTGAGTCTCAAATCAAGCATTCTCTTAATGGATCATGTTGGGAGCAGTCCTAACCGCCTCACTTGTACGCCGACCTGATAACTCTTCCTCCGCCGCAGTATCGATCGGCCCGTGTGCCGTGCGCGGGACGATATCTTAAAAGCTGTGGCAGGAATAGCACCCTCTCATACTGGTCGGCGTGCTACCAACTCAAGGACACGATTTGATTGGTCCAATCTTGTACACGGGTTTGCTTGCCTTAAATACACTGTACGAGGTGTGCAAAAAGGCCTCAACTTTTGCACGCTTTTTGTTGTGTTCTTCCATGGGGATTAAAACAAGGCGTAATAAGATAGTGAAATCTCGGCTTTGGTAACATTACAACAGATCAGACAACGGCTACACTGTGGGTCGATTTCAAAAATCTACGTTCACCTAAAACTAGCAATTCCCACCTCAAATTTCGAAATAAAAATATGCTCACTCCCTTTGGCCTCAAAGCTTCAATTCAAAACTTTAGTAGAGCACCGCACAACGTCAAAACCTTAACCGTAACGAGGACAGACAATGACGAGGGCGAACGGAACGGTCGTTTCTACCATTAACTACTTTGACTAAAAACCACATTTTGTTATCATTTAAAACTTTTTTAGTGTGGTAGGTTGTGAATAGGAGTTCTAAAAATGAAGGTGTGGTCACAAGGATCTGACTATAGAAAGGAATGTCGCAGTTTGGTTTTTCTCTCAAAACTGTGTTTCTTTATCACTTTAGCTACTTGCACTGTACGCTGCCAGTGCTGACTCCGATGTGTCTCCTTACATGCTCGCCACAAGCGAACTGTCAAGGTCACGAACGAGTGATGCTGCGTACGTCGCCCCGCTCCCAAGACCTGCGGGAGATGTGCTAAATCAAGAAGCCTAAGCCAAAATTCCGAAATGGTTTTTGATTCGAAAATATGATTCAACTGTGATTTTAAGATTAATTTTTGCGCAACGTAATTCCGAGATCTTTCAACCCCTTCAAGATGCCAGCTGTCGAACGAATTATTTTGCTGTTGTCAGCGAAAACCATACTCAGTAAAAATGACTTCTTAAGTAGTATTTATTTCCCCCTTGCTTTTCGATGCATTTGTAAATTCAAATGTGTATTTTAATTAAAACAATACAAAACTATTCGCTCTCGTACTCATTTGGTAAAAAATTGCGCCTTTTTCGTGTTTGCACCTTAGAAACGACTCCCTTTCGACTTTTCAAAACCTTTTTATTTCCGAATATCTTTGAATTTGACCTGTCGGTACACTTAAATGGAAGCTTTCGAAAACCGTACTTCATTCCTAAGCATGGAAAGTGGAGAATAGTCTTGATGTAAAAGGGGATGTAGAGCAAAGTGATTTTGATTAATCGTCGAAAACCGCCATTGCTACTAGTACTCTTGCGTAAATCTTGCAGATGATAGCTACGTAGTAAAAAAGGCCAGAGAGAGATCAGAGGTGATCAGAGGGAGATCACCCTACGTTGTCTTAGGTGCAAGTCAAAAAAAACTTTTTATTGCTTCTCCCCCCTCCCATTTTCGTAAGTCTACTCCTTTTCATCTCACCAAACATCGGGCGTGGCCAATCCGTTAACGATGTCCCCGCGTTTGCTTGCTCTACTAGCTACCTTCAAGATCTTTAAAAAGGGGATATTATTGAAAATACCCAGTCTTGCGCCTGTTTTCGCGTTTTTTTAAAATTCTGAGATCCAACTCTTCTGTTACAGAGCATCACCCAGATAGTAGATGGTCTGATCATTCAAAATGAGCCTTTCGCGTACAGGTCTGTGCGCAAATGACTTGGGCAAAGTTGCTGTAACCTAAATACGACGAGAAGACCTCAAACTCTGCAATTAGTTGGGCTCTGTGATAAGCTTGATCTTATTTCGATATTCCATGGTCCTTTGATCTGCCCATTGTTTTTACATCGTCGTTTGTAATCTCTCGTGTCATTGGATTTTCAATTTAATGTTTCATCAGTCAGACTGAAAAATGGCCTTGCCGTTTTCCATCGATTTTCTGAGCCCGGACAAAGTACCAATGAGCGCTAGTCATCTTACGAAAGTACAGGTTAGTGCAGCTGCGGAATTTGGGCAGTCAAGAACTCATTTCTGTGTGCGCCAATTTAAAGTAAAGTGACCATTTGTTTTAGGCCCTCGGTAGCATATATGATCAGGGCCACAGTTCGTTCGCTGGTTTATGCGTGCAAAAATGATCGGATCTGGAGGGTACGGACATAAAAGAAGACTCATCTGGAACAGTTAAATGCAAGGCAAGATGAGACTTTACCTGAGCTAGTTCCGCGGCTATAGCTAAGAAGAGCACAAATCCCAAAATGGTAAACGTGATCCAGAATTTCAGTCTTCGTGTCTGTTCCAGGTAGCGTCGATAGAGAGCATGTGTACTGCAGGTTGGTTGGGGTTTCACTGCCCTTTTACTAGTCTCCTCAGCCCTAAGATAAAAGGTAAGCGAGGTTTCCTCTAAAAATATGATCAACTCATGTTATTTTAGCGGTATATTGAACGTGAGTGTTGCAAAAAAGTAGATTCTTAAATCCGGCAGGTACTGCTGTGCATGTACTGGAAAATAATTGGGAAGAGAAAATACGGCTGCAACTGAGAAGGGAAGGGTGACAGAAATATCTCCTACGGTCGTGGGTGCTTGTAAGTGTAACCTGGTTATTCCGCTGTAGATGATAGATTTCTGATCAATGGTACATATTCATTAGTAGGTAGTTGTCCACCGATCTGCTTCAGGATGTACCCATCTTGGCTGCTGCCGTTTGCAAACGTGGGCACGTCAAGTATATGTTGCAAGACGAACATTAATGTTACTTACTAAGTTTCGGTAACGTTGAAGTTATTAAGGTATTACCGACAGTGACAAAGGGACGCTAGGATAGCTATTTCTGGCTTATTTGCCGTCATCAGCTAGCGATACTCAACTCCAGTGTAGCCGCTGAAATTGCTGTCACACTCGAGTTTCGAACTCGCGTCTCTCCGGTCAGAGGCAAACGCCCTAACCATTGAGCCACGAGTCCGCTGTCTTGTCGCTTTTTGATCGGAAGTATATTGTAGTAGGTAGTTGTCCACCGAGCTGTTTCAGGAGGTACCCATCCTGATTGATGCCGTTTGCAAACTTGGACACGCCAAGTATATGTTGCAAGGCAAATATTAATGTTACTTACAAAGTTTCAGTAACGTTTATGTCGAAGTTTGTGAACTTGATCTCATCAGCAGCCGCTCAGCAGGTTGGCCGGTGACGATGAATAAGCCAATAAGCAAACTTATGCTCGCCAATTTATCTCTTGATATTTTAAGGTATTTCCGACAGACAGGGGACAGTAGGATGGCCATTTCTGGCTCCTTCGCCGTCATCAGCTAGGATACCCAACTCCAGTGTTGCCGCTGAAATTGCTGCCACACTATAGTTTCGAACCCGGGATCTCTCCGGTCAGGACAAACGTCCTGACCATTGAGCTAGGGGTTCGCTGTCTTGTCGGTTTTACATCGGGAGTATACTAGTAGTACGAAACCGTACGCTAATCTGTTTCAGGACGCAAAGTTAGCAAACGTCAATAATGAAGGAAATTATTATCCACTTACCGCATGTCATCCTCACAATTTTCACAGGCAGCCATGCTTCCACACTTGCAGCGCTCGGAATCCTCTGCAAATCGGGCACGCAGCTTTCCACAGAGAATGCAGCTGTTAAGGCCGATTCGCTTGCAAAATGGCTGAAGGCAAAAAAAGGAGGGCTCCAATTAACGCTTCCACCTTCCCCCAAGCTTAATTGGTGTTTTGAAAATATTCAGAAGCACAAGAGCGAATTTGTTTTTTTTTTCGCAACAAATGTGCGTGTGTTTTATAAGGTGCTACTACACATTCTCCACCTGATTTCCTTCTTAGGCAAACTGGACTCATAATATTCAACAGAATAACCATCCTCGTGAATATTTTTTGCAAGAAGGGGGCAAGTTTGTGAACTCGGCCTTCGTAGACGTGTTCCAAAGATATGTTGACTATTAGCCGCATGTTCATCTGCTTGATAACAAATTGTCTCGATTCTTCATTACCGGGTCGGTTAGTAAAAGTCCCGGAAAAGCAAAGAGTCGACAAATCAACATTTGTCATAACGAAGACTCCCACACTTTTAACCGTTACGTAGGATTATTACAAATTCTGAAAAAAAAATCGGTTGGTTAGGTAATTAAGGACTCGTGCGTAAGGCAGGCTCTGTCATCATTAACCGCAACGTCGGCCTGCATTCTATGTGATTATAATCGATAGCGATCGTTACATAGCCCAAAGTCTTTGTCCAACGTCAAGGTCAAGGTCATTCACATATCCTTACAAAATGCCGACAGACGAACGTTCAGACGGCCAAGGCCACTCCTCGCCAAATAGAATACGCAACACTTCAATGCAAAGGCACTCTTAAACATATCCTTCGAATGCTCTCTTCAGCTGCCGGTGTTTCCTGTGTTTTTTCAGCTGACTTTATAGTACAGCGCCACTTTAAAACATTCAAACAATTTGCTGATCGCATCCTTAGTGAGGTTGCTCACCCTTTCCACTCTGAACTAGTGGCTGGGAAGTTTTCCCGTACAGTGCGCCGAGGCTTCCGTCATATGTCTTGCCGTACATCGGTATATCAGCACTATGTACTCCCATTCCGAGCACACTACCTCACGTGTGAAGAAGCGGAAATTGAGAAGTTGAGAGCTGACCTGTCTCCATAGTAGATGTGAATATCGTGTAAAACTTTAATTTTAAGTATTCTATGACCTTTTACTTTTGACCTTTTACCATGACCCCTTACTTACCTTATCCCTTGCTCTCCGTGAATGAAGCCATTTTTGCTGAATGTTTAGGATATTCCCCTCTAAATAGAGCATTCCTCTCTCTCCCTCAACTCCTGCCAAAAACTTGTAAAAACGGCTGATACTGTTGAAGTACAAAGATCGAAAGCACACCCAAATCAGGAGGCAGATAGATGGACAAGCCCTGAATGAAGCAGAGAGTTTACGCGAAGCAAAGGCTCTCATCGGGCGAGCGTCGGCGTTAGCCGTTTAAGTTATTCGCCCGTTCGCAAAGTGTGTGCGGTTGTGGCCAATCAATATCGATGGGCTTCACGGCGTCAGCGACCACATCCTTTATTTGAGCTCTACGGGTGCAGCACAACAAGCAGGACCGCGGGTGAAAACTCCAACCAGGCATGTTGGTAACCCCAATCCACACCACGCGACAAAACGAACGAGCGGGGATGGCCACCGGACGCAAACTCAAATGGGGAAGGGGGGAGGGCCAAATACTGGTGACCTAGAACCCCCTCGAGAACGAGACAATCGGATGTGAACCCAGGCGGACGCAAGTACGCGGAGAGAGGGGATCGCCAGCCCTGCAACAACCGAGACGGTGGCAGCCTTGAAACAACCTTAAGCGCGTGGAAATTGTTTCTTCAATGAACCTATTCTGTACGCTTGTAGCAAAGCTGCCATTCTCTCGCGTACCAGTGATAGTCTGGTTTTTGGCCCATCGCAGTTATCCAAAC